CCAGGGGGTGGCGCAGAATGAAGGAAGGTCCCAGCTGGCAGCTGGGGAAGAGAGGCCCTGGCTGGCAGCCCGCAGCCGCTAGGGACCCTAGCTGTGCATGAATTTCATGCACTGGGCCTCTAGTTTATTATAAAAGAGAGTTGAAAGAGGAATGTTAACCAAGCCATTTGTGCAGAAGCTCATGGAAAACATGGCTCTAATAGACTGCAATGTGGGCAGCCCTGCAACAGCCAGTCAGTCTTAGCAATAGAAGCTGGAGGAACTCATCCACACAGCCTTTGAGTCATGAGGGGAATTCCTGTTAGGCTGGAGCAAGGTCCAGGCCCCTCCTCAGCACAAACCTTCAGCAAATAGGATATCTTTGAAAATCTCTCCTCCTTCAAAGATGGGTAATCAATCAAAAAGGAACCAGCATACAAAGATAAGATAAAAGGAAGGAGGGAAGAGGAAAAAGTGGCAAATTGAATTCTCATCAACAAATTGTTGCCATTAAAAAAAAAGAAATCTTTAACTATACATATAGCCATAAACTTTAAAAGGTAAGGGTGTTGGCCGGCTGGTATGGCTCAGTGGTTGAGCATCAACCTATGAACCAAGAGGTCATGGTTTGATTCCTGGTCAGGGCACATGCCCAGGTTGTAAGCTTGATCCCTAGTGTGGGGCATGCTGGAGGCAATGAATTAATGATTCTTATCATTGATGATTCTGTCTCTCTCTCCCTCTCCATTCCTCTCTGAAATTAATAAAAACTATTAAAAGTTAAGAGTGCACCTGGAAGAGCATTATCATCAGAACCCAACTATGTTGACACCCTGACCTTGGACTTCCGGCCTCCAGAACTGTGAGGCATAAATTTTTGTTGTTTATAAGCTACCCATATGTGGTGCTTTGTTATAGCAGCCTGAAGGGACTAAGACGGTAGGGTTATTTGTGGTTATTGGAAGTTGGAAGCACTCTGGGTATCTACCACCTAGAGAGTGCGTAGGTAAAAAGTGGTAGATGCACATCATGGAGGATTCTGCACAGTGAGAAGTGACTGATTAGAGGGCCACAGAGCAGTGTGGATGGATCTTAAACGTAGTGCTGAGTGAGGAAAAAATTAGATATATGATCAATAAATAACATTAAAAAGTGTATACATTAAAAAATACACATTTTAGCCCTAACCAGGTGGCTCAGTTGGTTGGAATGTCATCCCGTACACCAAAGGGTTGCAGGTTCGATTCCCGGTCAAGACACATACTCAGGTTTCGGGTTTGATCCTTGTTTGGGGTGCATACGAGAGACAAGTGATCCATGTTTCTCTCTTAGATCCATGTTCTCTCTCTCTCTCTCTCTCCTTCCCTCCCTCCCTCCCTCCCTCCCTTCCTCTCTCTCTAAAATCAAAACATATCCTTGGTTGAGGATTTTAAAAAGTAACATTTTATAAAACAAACAAAAAAAGATACATATTTAACACATTTGAATGATTGCCTATAAGGGGAGAGGAAGAATAGAAAGGAAAAAATAAATAAAACTGACCTGGCATGATAATGTGGCATGCACTGATAAGTATGATTAACTCAACTTTCTTTTTCTTTTTCCTTTTTTAACTTCCCTTTTCTTTATGTTTTTTTTTTTTTTTCTGGAAATACACAGGCATGTTTAATGGAAGCAAAATGGGGCAACGTCGCAGCCAACAGGGATTGAGCTCAGGCGAGGCAGGGCCGGTGCTGTGCCCGGGTCATGGAAGCCACAGCAGCCTGGCAGCACGGGGGGGAGGGGGGGGGGCGGAGACCTGGCCATGGGGGGCCTGCGAGGAGCCCAGGCTGTGTTACTTGTATTCATTTGAATTTTTTTTAAATGAAGCAAAACTACAAAAGGAGCTCAAACATGAATTAAGAGAAGTGGAAGGGGAAAAACTATTTTAAAAATCAAGACAGATTTGGAAATACCATAAAGAGAATAAAACCATTGTTAAGAAAAAAACTAAGAACAAAAAATATTTTTAAAGCGTTATGGAATACTCAAGAAAAACATGTAAAACGAAATAAAAATGAACAAACTGTTTAAAAGGATGAGAGAAAATTATGTAAATGAGAAACAAAAGAAATCCAATATATGCACAATCAAGACAGATAACCAAGAAAAGAATCTATATATTGGGAGGGGGGGTGAGAGGAAGGGTAGAGCTTACATATATATTTTGAGAGATTTTCCAGAAATAAAATATCTAAATCTATAGATAGAAAGGACACATAATATCTCAAAGGAAAACAAAACTGGCACAGAATAATCAAACTAAGACCTATTCTAGTAAAGCTACTGACTTTTCAAAGAAAATAGAAATCTTTTGGGTATTCTCTAGATTAAAATGATCAAGATATCTGTAGGGGAAAAATATCAAAATTTCTGACCCAAAAAATTTATACCTAAAAATTTTATACCAGAGAAACCTGTTAAAGTACAAATGTGATAGACAACATTTTTTAATGTGCAAGAATGGGGTTTCATGTACCTGTTATAGGACATTAGTTGAGGATGAATTTCACCCAACCAACCAAGAAACTTAGAAAAAAAATATTTACTGTGATCATTGATTCCACTTATCTGTAAAATTAAGGCTAAGACAAATGTAAGCATTGTGGTCATAGAACAGAGGATAAATGTTATAAAATCCTGGCAATATAATAATGAAACAACCAATAGAAGCTGAGAAAGAAAAGAAGTAAGTATTATAGAAAATGATATTTTTAGAGAATAAGGAGGGAAGGAACGGGAAATATACTGCTCACTGCTTTAAATAATGTTTAAAAAATAGTCATAATGTTAGAAAGATATCCACTGGAATAAAAATGCATGTCTTTCATGTTAAAAAATAAATAAAACATGCACACATAAAGAAGATCCAGGCTTCCACCAGTGTGCCTCAGTGGTTGAGTGTCGACCCATGAACCAGTCAGGGCACATGCCCGGGAGCGTGCAGGAGGCAGCCGGTGATTCTCTCTCATGGTTGATGTTTCTAACTCTCTCCCTCTCCCTTCCTCTCTCTGAAATCAATAAAAACATATTTTTTTAAAAAGAATATCCAGGCTGTATAGTGAAAAAAGTTAAATGAGCAATATAAACTAAAAGCATAATAACAAAAACATAACTTACTAGTAATATTTATTTTATTTTAAATTTAAGATATAAGCCCATGTGTCAAATGTGTGGAATGAAATGCTATAAAGCAGCAGTATCCACCTAAGTGGCCTTGACTAGCTAGAAACGTTTCAAGGGGTATCTCTGCTTGTAAGGAATTTGAGAAGTTAGGTATACATGCATATGTTTACCATAGGTGGGGTACTGCAATTAAAAAGCGGGAAATACTTCAATACTAATTAAAGACAAAAGAGAAGTTGGATGCTCCTTGCATCAGGCCAGTCTGTGATTTGAGCTGTGTAAGAAAGATTTTTTTCCTGGTGTAAGAATGGAAGTTACTGTGGTTGTCAACATTTTCTGAGCCTGTGCCCTTGACCATCACCAGATTGGACAAAGACAAAGCAGTGTGTTCAATCTGGGTTTCTTTTAATGTAATCAGAAGTCTAGATTATGGGCACTTGTTTAAGAGATTGTTTGTTTGCTTGTTTGTAAGAGATGGTTTGAGGTCAAGGACTTTGGGGATGAAAAGGCTCTCAGAGACCCAACTTAACATACAGTGGTCCAAGAGATTGTCCTTTCTTGCTGGTCTGATGAAACATCTGAATATACTGAGCTTGAAATCCCAGGGGAAAAGAAGACCTTTTATTTCAGGAAGTGAAGATCTCAGACTCAAGTCAGGCAAATGAAGTGGGCTCATGGCAACTTTTCTAAGCTTCATGTAATTAAAGGTTTTGAGGAGTTGCTGTACTGCTTTGGTAAAAATAAAGTCCAAATTTTGGACGACATATTTTGATGAATATGAAATATACTTTAAGTTTCTGCAGCTGTTTTTGGTGTGCAAACCTCAAGATGTGTTTGAGTTACCAAGTATCTCTCCTATCTGTGCAGCGTGGTTAAAGAGGAATTTCCTTTCACAGACCTGAAAGAAAATTATGCTATTGAAAAAGACACAATCTAACTAGAATTTGAGAAGTGGCATATTAATCGCAAAATTGCCCTAAATTTCTGTCTACATGCCTCTCTTTCATGAAACTGCTGAAATCCAAGCTGATAGCAAGTCAATAACAAAAATTTGGAGCAAAAATTCAGCTATAAACTGCTTGAATGCAGTCCAGATGTCTCAAGAATTGCTCAAATACGTAACCGTATTGTCATTGACATAATCAAAATTAATCAATGAGTTTTTGCTTTAGATAGGTATCTTTCAGGATCAGAAATACTCTGACATCATCCCCATGTGCAATAAATCCTGCCACATAGGCAGACACTTTGGCTGCAAGGAATGGGTATCTGTCCCCAATTCAATGCCGGCAATGCCAGCTCAAGGCCCAGATGATTCAGATAATGTAGAGTCTGACCTTGAGGCAAAGAACTGGAAGTAGTGTGGGAAATATCTAAAAATTGCTTAGCATGATATTTTATAAGGAGTAAATGAACAATGTAAACTCTTAATTAGTCTGTCTCTTAGGGTCTTGCCATTTCTAGTATATTGTAATTATGAGGCTTCACATAAGGCTTAACCAAAAGAAAGGAGGAATCCCTAGGTTTGGTAGGCTATATGTGCATTTTTATTAATAGTTGACTAAATAATTTTGAAGAACTCTTTATATATTATCCTAAAGAAATTCATAGTTTTGAATATCACTAGGAGAGAGAATTCAGGCCACACACATATGAGTTTCCAATTATCTATGAAATGTAGACATCACTATTCTAAAGACTTAGAGACGGCTTCTAGTGTGAACATGACTAGCTATATTAGTATTTTCTCTTTGTATTTAAAAATTATTTAAGAGCTACAAGGATAAAAACACAACCTACATTTCCATTCCCCCAAATCCACAAACCTCCCCCCCCCCTTTTTTTTGGTAAACTAGGACAGAAGTATACTGCTCAGATCCTAAAACATGTACAAAGGTTGCCAAAAGCAGCTCAGATTGAAGACAAATTGTGTGGGAGAAAGGAGAGAGAAGAAGCAGAGACGAACTCAACAGCAAGAAGGCCCAGCTTAGACCTTGCTAAGCGAAAGTCTAACTCCTAAAGGTAAGGAACACACTCTGAGTTACAGAAACGTTATCCTTTGTTTGCAAAAGGGGGTGTAAAAACTGGGGCAAGCAAACCATGCTGGCAACAAAAGACCCTGCACCCAGCTGGATTCAAAAAGACAGTGCAATTGAGGCCACACAAAGAGTTACACAAATAGCCCATATTTGCAAGAAGCAATCTGTGCATGCGAGGCACAGACCTGTGCTCAGTGAAAACCAGCTCCTTCCCACTGTGCTAGCAACTCCTGCAAATAGCAGGGCCAGTAAAACACTTCATTCAGTGGTGAGATTTAAGAAAGGGAGTAGCACAGCACCAATATAAAGATCTGTAACAGAAATGTTGGCAAAACTTAAGATATAAAGGACACTTTACCAGTGAAATGTTGCTATGGCAAATACATTTTTTAAAAAATATATTCTCCTGAATTGGGGGTCAGGGGGAATGCGGCAATCACCTCTATAAAAAGAAAATCATAAAGCATAAATGCAGTATTTCAAGGAAGATATAGTGAAATAACAGGAGGTGGTGAAATGAGAAATAGAAGAACTCAGAAGAGAAGCAGTAGAAAACACAAAGCCGTCACAGAAATGAATACAAAATTCAAAGGAAAGTGAGAAGGAAACTTAAAAGATAGTAATTAAGGACATCTGTAATACTCTCAACAATAAAGATTAAAAAAATAAAACAACAAAAAGATAGTAATTAATAATGAGAAAAACAAGCAAAATAAAATGAAAAATCAAATAAGAGAGATTAGAAACAAAATAACAAAATATAGAAAATAGGCAAAGGAGATTGTTTTTAAAAAATTATAATTGGTGCCCCCAAGGGAAAAAAACAAAATAATACTACAAAACAAATATTTTAAAATATAATTGAAGAAAACTTTGCTCAATTAAAAGAAAACTTAATTCTCTTTATTGAAAGAATGTATTGCATTCCAGGGACATTTTACCTGGTATAGCTAATAACTACAAAGAGGAAAAAATAATCCTTTGGGGAACATTACACATCATCAAGTCACTTATAAAGGGGAAATAGGATGTCCTTAGATTTCTGCACAGCAACATTCATAACAAGAAGACACTGGAGTAACATATACAAGATACTTACGTACAAAAAGTGAACACAAAGACTATATCTAGCCAAACTGTCTTTCAATCATAAAGACTATAGACAGTTTTTAATATGCAAAACCCCAGCTAACATTGTTACTATTAGCTTTTCTTCAGAACACTACTAAAAGATGAACTTTAGACTTAAAAAAAAAAGATAATTGGCAAAACTACAGCAAAAGCACTGCTTGTGAACATTGTGTAGTTAAATGGAATCCTTCCGTTGAGCCCTCTGGAACTCATCCGTCATCAGCTACATTCCCTCTATCCTCAACCTGAGCATTTTGTTCACCTCCTTGTTCTAGAAACCTGGCTCTTCCCGAGGCTACTGCTTCCCCTGCAACGTCTTGCACAGTGGCTGCTTTTCTCCCACAGTCCTCGTACCTGGGCCTAGGGATGGGTAGGTCACCTCTTTGCTCTCACTGTCACTTTCAGACCCTTCTCATTCCCCTCCCTGAAATTCTTCAACTTTAAATCTCATGTTATCAGATTAGTTCACCCAATAATATTTACTTTTGCTCTCATCTATTGGCCTTTGGGTCATGCTCTCTTGTTTTCTCTCTCTCTCTTTGCCTGTCATGTGTTACTTTTTGTTAATTATTATTAATTTCATCATTTAATTTTTTTAATTTTTATTTTTTATTTATTTTTAATTACAGTTGACATACAACATTGTATTAGTTTCAGGCGTGTGACATAGTGATTATACATTTACATACCTTACAAACTGACCACCCCAATAACTTTAGTATCTATCTGACTACATACATAGTAATTACAGTATTATTGACTATAGTCCTTATGCTGTACTTTAGGTCCCCATGACTTCAAAATCTCAATTTCATCATTCTATTTTCTGATATCTCATTGTCTATATTTCCAATTTACTCCCTTTAGTGGCCCAACCGCAACAATCCTTTGATCCCTAGTCAAGGGGGGAAAAAGTTATTCATTTCTGCACTGTTCTCAACAGAAGAATATTTATTCTATAAATCAAATGTACATCCTTAAAGGCATGGTTCAAGAACTTAAGGAAGCGGGCAGTTACTTGAAGGACATGGGACTGTGTTAAGAGGGCTGTCAGATAGGGATGCCACCCACCTCTGATGACTCAGCAAAGAAACCATGGAAATAAGTACCAAACCTCTCTCTTTTCACTGTCTCCTGTTTTCTGACAGTGACTCAGAAATTGAGTAACTATTAAATTGCCTTTTTTTAGGCCACTTTGAGAAGACATAGGTATCCAACCGTGGCTATTATTAGGCAGGGTACATGTTTCATCTAAGAATCGGTGTCAGACGTTGCCTAGGGAGATGGCTCCCAATCTGAGAGCCACTGGATTCTTGAGGATCCTCAAAGGTAATTAGGGGCTCAAAGAACTATTTTCAACATTTCAAAAAAATATATCACATAGAAATTGTACACTTATCCTTGATAAGACTGTGGAAGCTGACAGAAATGTATTTCCAGCTCTGAGCTGGTATGGTATGAATTCATACTGATCAGCAGTGTGATAAGTGGTTTTATACAATGTTGATTAATAAAGAAAGGAGAAGCATTTTTAAAGACACAAAGGCCACAAGTGCAGATTCCAAAACAGGGAAGTTCTAGGGCCTTTCCTGATTTTAGAGTTACTGAATCTAAAAGGTATAGTCTATAATTTATGAAATTATTTTACCCTTAAAAATCACAAAATGTAGTCCATTATTAGACTATAATAACTAAGATATAAATGTAACTTTTTCATCTGGAATTATTAACTAATTTTTCAGACTTAATCTATATGTATATATAAAAGCCTAAGTGACCAAATGACCAGTCGACTGGTCGCTATGACGCGCACTGGCCACCAGGGAACAGATGCTCAATGCACAGGATTGGGCTCCCTCCTATTTGGATCGGGCCTGCGGGGATCTGGCTGAAACCGGCTATCCGACATCCCCCAAGGGGTCCCGGATTGCGAGAAGGCGCAGGCCAGGCTGAGGGACCCCACTGGTGCATGAATCCATGCACCATGCCTCTAGTATGATAATAAAGTGGCATAATATATTTGCATTAAATATATTAAATAGTATCATGTAAAATAAAGGCATAATATTCTGATTCTAAATTCAGTGGTCAGATGCACTTACTAAATTCTAGAAGGATTCTTTCTCTCACTCTGCATTGCTAGTCAAGCACTTTAAGGGCTAAGTTACATTAATAATTTTGTCGTTCCTATTTGGTCTGATCAATATTTTACATAGTTTCATGCAGAATTTGATTTTTATTTTATTGCAGGTCTATGTTATTAAGCTTCTCTGAGAAAGAAATCAACAGGGCAGTAGAATAAAGAATATTTGTATTCTATAATAATAAAATCTACTGTCTGAGAGGTTCGTTGATGCTTAAAGTGTTGGATTTAGTGGAGTCATTAAAATTGCAGGTTTCAGAAACTCCATAGTTAAACAGTTTCGGGGAAAAGGAGGAAGGAAGGATACCAAAGTGATCTTCAGAGGCTGTGCAGTCTCCTGGAGACAGAGGGGACATCGCCTAGAAAAGAGGGGAAGCAGACGGAGTCCCTCATGTTTCCCGTAAGGAGTCATTACCTTCAAAACTGTCAAGATGTCAAAGCATTATCAAGACAAAAATACCAGATAAAAGAGCTTTCCTCTAAAACATGCCTGAGATGTAGAAATGTGTAAAATTTCCCATGTGGCGGTGGTCGTCTTATCATTGAACACTTCAGGCTCCCCGCCAGGGAACGCACAATGTCCTCCTCAAGTTCCCACCCTGAGGCCAAGACCTGACTAATGACATCTGCTCAGGAGAGGGCTCCGTAAAGGCAGGCTGGGCAAAGTCAGAATGCACAGAATTTCCTTTCTTTATTTGATACACTGACAAGGTAATTCAAATGGAAAGGCTTTGGGGCATATGCAAAAATGGGAAGTAATCTCTCTGGGTTGGGAGCCTCTCAGAGAGCAGCGTGCCTTAGCAATGTTGCAGACCTTCATCTGCAAAGCCAGCAGCTCCCAGTCAGGAGCACACGCTCAGAACCGCCAGACCCTGGGCCAAGTGCAACAGGGCATCATTAATGCAGTCACAGGATCAGATTAGCAATGCTCCAGACCGGCATGGAGACTGATTTTAAGTCAGATCTTCCCTTTCAAATTACCCTCAGCACTTTAAATTTGACCTCCAGGAAGACTTGTATACTAGTATATTGTTTACGGATAATTTCTGTAATATGGAAAACTGGGAACAACCTGCATGTCCATCCGTAAGGAAATGGCAAAATAAATGATGGCAGATCCATTCTCTAGAATCGTAGGCATCTGTTAAAAAGGATGAGTTTGATCTCAAAATGCTGACAGGGGGTCATGGCTATGATTTTTTGTTAACAGAACAATGTGTATACTATTCCATTTTGCAAAGCAAGCGTGTTGGATGCAATCGTTGAGCACCTTCTCAGACTGTGACCACTGCCTTCGCTGAGCTCCCTGAGGTGGCTGAAGTTCAAGTTGGAACCCTGGGCCTGCATAGCCTTTGCTTCCTCCACGATGGGCCCTGTTGGCATTACATCGTCATCCTAGATTTGGATGAAATGCCACACTATGGAGCATGGGAACCTGGCCTTACTGAATGGCTGCCAAGGGCCGAAAATGTAAGGAGTTCCTTCCTCTGGGTGAAACGTGGCTGATGGGTAATGAGAGGCAGGAGGGATCCGAGCAGAAAACCCACTCCCCTCCCTTCCTGCAGCGGACTGCCCCGAGCGTGGCTTCTTGCAGCCTCTCCGAGGAGCCCTGCGTGCCA